TGGCTCAGTGGTTGAGCATCCACCTTTTAGTCAGGCGGTCACGGCTCAATTCCCAGTCAGGGCACATGACCGGGTTGCAGGCTCAGTCCCCAGTAGGGGGAGTGCAGGAGGCAGCTGATCAATGATTCTCTCTCATCATTGATGTTTCTATCTCTCTCTCCCTCTCCCTTCCTCTCTGAAATGAAATATATATATATATATATTTAAAAGAGTAGCTTTGAGGAGGTCAAAGGGGGGACATCTATAATAGTGTCAACAGTAAAAAAAAAAAAAAAAGAGTAGCTTTGAATAGAGAGTATGCTTATGTCCATTCTAAAGGTGAAGAAACCAAAGATCTAACAATAGGATTGGCTTAAAGGAGCCCAGAGAGCTGGGTCAGCCCTGAGCCCTTCGGTGCTTGTTGGAGAAGCCCCTCCCAAACATCCTCTGGGCCCCTGCTTGGGTTTAGGTCTAGGGCAGATGCCGCCCCACCATGAGGAGAGCTGGTTGGAGTGATCTAACCAAGAGCACTGACCCATGTAGAGGGGCAGCCATGGGGGCTCTCACCGACCCGCTCACTCTTCAGCTCACCTGGGCAATGCCCTGCGTGGCATCTGTACATCACTTGGCAGTTCCGAGGCATCTTCAAGTGCAAGATCCCCTGAGACCCACACAGTCATCCCACAATGTGGAAGAGCAGGGCAGTTCCCTTGCAGACAAGAAAGACAGTGAGAGGCAGGGCACAGTCAGTGAGCAGGGGAGGGGCACTGCGTCTCCAACCCCCAGGCTTGCATGCTTTCCACAGCACGCGGAGAGAGGTTTGATATCCAGGACAGCTTCTTAGACCTGCTCCACATTAAGGGGGCTTGGGAATGTTCTAGCACATTATAACCAGGTGGATTAAGAGCCGCCTGCCAGCCTTGACCACAAGTCAGTCTACCTCTGAACTGATACATGAGAAAGACATTAACTCATGTATAAATGAGGGGGCTCTTTGTTACAGCAGCCTAGCTTGAATCCTCAGCAAAATACTAACTTAACCAGGTAGTGAAGGTAGTGGAATGGCATTGCTAAGGTCTCAGAGTGGTTGGCAAGGTTCCAGCCACATCTGGAAAGTGACCAGAGACCAAGGGAACAGGGCATGTCTCGCCCAAATGAAAACAAAACTAAACTAAACAAGAATGTTCCTCAGAATCTGACCTCGCTCTCTCCGGGGACCTTTGGGTCCCTCTCCGGTTTCAGCCAGAGCAGTTCCACAGATTGGAGTTCTTCACATAACTATTTGGAAATAATGTTCTTCTGGCTTTAAAAAATCAAAAACCACTGATGGCTTTAAATGAATCACACATTTTAATACAAATATCAAATGCGACAAGATGTATTATTCTATTATATTTAATGTGGTCAATTAGAATTAACCCGCAGTGACAAGAGCTGCTGGTCAAGCAGAGTGTCTCTGATGACTCAGGAGGCTCCCCAGCACCTGCCAGTGTCACCCCCTGGCACGGCAGAAATCATTTGTGTCCTGGGCACTTCCTTAGCGTTTGGGACCCAGATAACAAGGGTCTCCTCTGTTTGCAAGTGGAGGGACCATACTTCCCGCCCCGAAGGGGACCCAGTGGCCAGGCCCCTTTAACAGAGCAGTTAGCCCTGCGCCTCCTCCTGGGCTTCTGGCCTCTCCTGCAGCGTGTTCTCACCAGCGCGCGACATTCCACCCCTGGCCACCGTCCAGGGTCCAGGGCGCACAGAGGCCCGAGCAGGAGCCAGGCCAGGGAAAACAACCCGGCGTCCAAGAAGGTCCGTTTCCCAACTGGCCACGCAGGGCGGGCGGGCAGAGGAAGGAAGGGAAGACGGAACCCCAGCCTTGGCTCCTCAGGGTCCATCATGGCAATCCTTCCGCCTCCCCCACGCCTTCCCTTTCTGGAAGCCCCGTGAAGCAGGCCTGATGGTGAGCCCTGTGTGTGTGTGTGTGTGCATGTGTGTGTGTGTGTGTGTGTGTGTGTGTGTGTACAAGCTAAAAAAAAGAAAAAAAGAAAAAAAGAAGGCACCCAGGTCTTGCCTTGCAGGAGAGTCTGGTCCAGGAAGCCACTTGGCCTTGACTCCTCTGGGCAGGCTCTGGAAGACCCACAGGGCAAGGATGAGCTGTATCTGGGCGGCAGTGCCTCGAGGGGCCACCCCACCCGTGTTGCAGGGGCAGCTGCAGAGGCTCAGGGAGGAGGGAAGTTTCCCACAGGCCACAGCAGCGCATGGCCGAGCTCGGCCAAGAACGCGGGGTCCGGGGTGTTTTCTGCCGTCATGCGTTGAGCTCAGTGCCGAGGGACCCCACTCCGATGAACGGGTGGGGAGGCCTGGCTGAGCTCATGGGCAGTTGGGCGGTGGAGCCCGGACGAAGCTCTGTCCAGATGTGAGAGATTAGCGCTGTGCGCTGTGGAGAGCAGCTCGGGCCAGCCTTCTCCCCGGACGGATTTGGAGCCAAGTGAGATCTCATCACAGACACGTAAAGAACAGTGGGTTTTAGGCCAATGGGAGGAGCATGTCCGTGCTGTTCGTGACTTACAGGGCTGGCAGGGCCCCATGGCCCCCAGGGTCACAGTGCTTCCTCTTGGCCTGAGCTGGGGGAGGGGAGGGGGAGAGGAGGGGAGGGCCTGGGAGAGGGCAGGCGAGGCTCAGGGGGGAAATTTGGCCAAAGGGCCCTGGGCAGACCTGCACAGGGTGGGTGTGGACACAGACCCACGCTGAGTCAGCCACCTCTTCCCCAACAGCCCTCGCTGCGGGGGGAACAGCTCCTCCCGCCCCTCCAAACCTTTCCTCTCCAGGCTGAGCAGCCCCATTCCTCCAGCTGAGATAAATGAATCCAAATGTGGGTCCCTGCATCCTGGCACGGCTAGGCCTCCCTAGGGCGGCTAGGCTTCCCTAGGGCGTGCGGCCCAGATGGGGTCTCAGACCACCCCTTTCTCATCAGGAACATTTCACACCAATGCATGCCGCCCACTGTGGCTTCTGTGTTTTGCTAAAAACCTATCAGACAACTGGCTTTTCTTATGGAAAATTTCAAACCATACACACACACACACACACACACACACACACACAAAAGTAGAGAGAAGAATGCAGTGAACTCCCATGTTCCCATCACCCAATTTCAACAATTACTAATCTTGTTTGCTCTATACTCCCGCCCATGCCTCCTCCACTCCCAGGCCTGGGTTATTTTGAAATAAATCCAAGACATCATAGCATTTCATCTGTAAATATTTTAGTGTAGATCTCGAAAAGCATCCCTTTAAAAAAGTAACCAAAGCTCCATTATAACATACACCCCCCCAAAGACAACAAGAAGCCCATTGTCTTATGAAGAGGCTTTTGTGGGTTCCATGGAGGGAAACAGTGGAGTGGAGAATGTAAGACACAAATTGTTCGCCACAAAAGATGCTCAGAGTGGAAGGAAGTTTTGTCCCTGCTGGTGGTCCTGGCCCCCGAGGGGAAGAGCTGGGGCCCAGACGGAGTTGGGACCAGAGAATCTCAGGGGGGCGTTCCGGCAGAGCTCCCAAAGGCCAGCCTGCTGAGGGGGGTCAGGAGAAGGCCGGTGCTTGGGGTCCAGTCATTTGCTGACTGTGTGACCTCGAGCCAGTCCCTCGACCTCTCACGGTGGCATTCATCACCAGCAAAATGACTTAGCAGCCCCATTCTTAACTCAAGACCTGCCGACTTCTGGGCAATTAAATGTCCCCTTGGACAACCCAACCCACACCGAGGCCTCGCAGTCCCAGGAGCTCTGCACCTGCAGAGACCAGTGCGTATCCCGTACCCCCCTGCTTCGGGGTCCCATCCATGGCCATGCCCACATATTGTCACTGCTCCGCCCATACCGCCTGCTCCTGTCTCTCCATCATCGCATCAAGGCCTCCAGTCCCTTAGCCCCTCCATCTCCCAATTGCTCTGCTTGTTGGCCTCTTTTCTTCCCCGTCCAAGCCAGACTCCAGAGCTCATTCCCTCCGCCCCTCGATGGTCAAACCCGCACTTCCTTTGCTCTCTTGCCTTCCTTCTCTCCTCTCGCCACACGCATCCTGCAGACTCCCAGGTTCAGCTCCATCCAGCCACCCCTCTTTGCTGCTCTGCACCAGCCTGCGGGCCGCTGGGGGAGGGCTGGTGCTTCCAGAGTTGCTCCCTGAGGTCGGGCCAACCTGCAGGCCTCCTGCGCTGCCTCCGGGTTTCCTCGTCTCCTTCGGGACCCCCTCTTCATGCGAGCCCTCTACCCAGTGGCCCGCAGTCAGTGCTCTCACGGGGTTTCTATTTTAGTGGCTGTTTAACAACCCACTCACAGAATTCCTAAACATTCACCACTGCCTCTCCCCTTCCCTAACCCCACCCGAGTTTCAGCAAATGATTCTCCTCTTACTTTACAAAGCGAGCAGAGGCCATCAGGTGGGAACTCGCTCAACTTTCTGGCCCTGTAAGTAGAACTTTTTCACCCATTTTTGCTGCATCCCCTCTCTCTTCCCTCATGGGTTGCCACTACCTGTCATCCGCCTCCCCCCACCCTCCCCACCCCCACTTTCTGGATTGCATGACCTCTCTCAAATGCGTTCCTTCAGTTCTCCTTTCTTCTTGTTCCTCGGGCTCTAAGCCTGGTGTGTTTCTCCAGTGCGTAAAAAAGCGGAAGGGACAACAATACACTTTCTCTAGACCTTGTGATCTGCTCTCCTTCCTTCAGCCAAACTTCCTGAAAACACTTCCGAGGATCTAGGCCCCCCTCTGACCTCTCCTTCCCTTCTCATCCCACCGCAGCCTAAATCCTGCTCGGCCTCCACCAGCCCCTGAAAGGGCTGGGGTGGGATCTAGCAGTGACTGTCCTGTTGCTCTGTTTTTCTCCCTGTTCTTGCTCGGCCTCTGGCTGCTTTAGGTCTCGCTGGCCGCTTCCTCCTCCCTAACGCTCTTTGCTTCTCTTAGTTTCTGGAACAGCATCTTCCCTCCTGAAGGCCGGGTTCTTCCAGGTTCCAGCCACTCCAATGGACCCAGGCATCTCAGAGCCACCAGCTCTGACACCTGAGCTCGGACCAGGGTCTGAGACTTCCATACGAGGGCTGGTGGTGCCAAGAGGAACCAAGGAGGAATCAACATTGGGGAGAAAAATGACGAATCAGGGGTTGAACGGGTTGAACCTCAAATCTTCCACTTACCAGCGGTGTGACCTCGGACAGATCATGTCACCTGTCTGTGCACACATTTCCTGTGTGTATGTTAAGGACGATAACAGGTTGTTGTGGGATTGACTGAGTTAGTACATTTGTCAATGTACTAACTGTGTGTGCATGTAAGCACTCCTGGATGCCAACTGCTCACCAATGTCAATGCTACTACTCAAATATCTCCACTCATTTTCTTTTTAAAAATATATATATTTTATTTATTTCAGAGAGGAAGGGAGACAGAGAGAGATAGATGAGAGAGAATCATTGATCGGCTGCTTCCTACACACTGCACACTGGGAATCGAGCCCACAACCTGAGCATGTGCCATGTCTGAAATTGACCGTGACCTCCTGGTTCATAGGTCGATGCTCAACCATTGAGCCACGCTGGCCGGGCTCTCCACTCATTTTCTTCCTTTCAATTCCTACTACTACTGCCCCTTGCCTCACCTCTTACCCTGATTACTGCAAAGACAAATCCCTCCAATCCCGTCTCTGTATTTTAAAAATTCATCTGTGGCTATGTGACCCTTCTGTGAAACCCCCAAACAAGCACCGTGACTGGCTTGTTAGGGCCTCTGGCTTGGTTTCTCTGACCCGCCTCTCCAGTCTCCTCTCCCAGCCACCCTGTACTTCGCAGCCGCTCTAACTGCCAGGGCTTGTGCACTCAGCCATGCTATGCACGCTTCCCTGTCTTTGCACACGCCATTCTCCCTGGTGGATGCCCTCCCTCCCTTCCTTGTTCAGGCAGCGCCTCCTTGAGGAAGCCCGCCTGGACTGTAGGTGAGCCCTAGAGAAAAGTGAGTGATGGGGGCAGCCCCTCTCTTGCCCTGACCCCACTGAGGCTGCCTTCGCTTCTCTCTGTGACTGTGTTCAGGGCCCACCCCACTGAACCCAGGGCTTTACAGGGAAACGGGGGCCCGTAGTGACAGGACTTGTCTTCCACAGCCGCTGACCCCTCCATCCCCTCCAGAGGAGACCCAGCTCGGAGCACAGGGTGTGACACACACGTGGCTGTCCTCGGCCGCTTGGACGTCATAGAGGAGGTAATAAGGGTGAGGCTGCTGGCTTTATGGGGCTCGGCCAACCTTGCTTTGGAAAATTAGGGAAATCCAGGCCAGTCCTGCTCCCTGCCCTACCTGGGCTATCAGGCTGACCAGCTCCTTGTCCTACCCGGGCTGTTGGGCTGACCAGCCCCTTGCCCTACCCGGGCTATTGGGCTGACCAGCTCCCTGCCCTGCCTGGGCTGTCAGGCTGACCAGCTCCCTGCCCTGCCTGGGCTGTCAGGCTGACCAGCTCCCTGCCCTACCTGGGCTGTCAGGCTGACCAGCTCCCTGCCCTGCCTGGGCTGTCAGGCTGACCAGCTCCCTGCCCTGCCTGGGCTGTCGGGCTGACCAGCTCCCTGCCCTACCTGGGCTGTCAGGCTGACCAGCTGCAGGGCACTCTGCCGCCCCTGGGACTCAGCCAGAAATCTCCACAGAATCACCAGGTGAAAAGATAGAAATTTGATCACTGTGTTTTGTTATACAGCCAGTTTGTAACCTGGGTATACTTTATTTTCAAAAACCTTAGCATTCACATTTATTATAAACTAGAGGCCTGGTGCATGAAATTCGTGCACTGGGGGGGAGGGGGGTCCCTCAGCCTGGCCTGCACCCTCTCGCAGTCCTAGAGCCCTCAGGGAATGCCCGAATGCTGGCTTAGGCAGGGAGTGGGCCTAAGCCATCAGTTGGACAACCTTAGTGCTGCTGCGGAGGTGGGAGAGGCTCCTGCCACCGATGCTGCGCTCTCCAGCCATGAGCCCGGCTTAGTGAAGCATCTGCCCCCTGGTGGTCAGTGTGCATCATAGCAACCGGTCATTCTGCCATCTAGTCAAAACTGGCTCTCTGACATCCCCCGAGGGGTCCTGGATTGCGAGAGGGTGCAGGCCAGGCTAAGGGACCCCACCGGTGCACAATCAGGGCTGGGGAGGGGAGGGATACGGGAGGTTGGTCAGCTGGGGAGGGACTGCAGGAGGGCTCCAGGGCATGCCCTGCCTGTCTTGCTCAGTCCTGATAGGCTGGACCCCTGCAGTAAGCTAACCTACCAGTCGGAGCGTCTGTCCCCTGGTGGTCAGTGCATGTCATAGCGAGTGGTTGAATGGCCTTAGTATATCATTAGCATTTTACGCTTTGATTCGTTGAACGGCCGACCAGACAACTGGACACTTAGCATATTAGGCTTTTATTATCTAGGATACAATAAACCATAGTAGTATTATCAGTATAAATAGCACTGTGATTTTTGTCATCAATAGAAATCAGGTATTTTCATCCCCTTACAATTGTTTCAAACATCTCAACATATCACTCAGTTTAATCCATATGTCAAAATTGCAGTAGTTGTTAGACTTTATGGTGGATCATGTTGTTTAGTGAGGTAATAAAAACAAATTTTTACATCAAAAATTTAATTTTGAATACTTGAATGACATGTTAATGAAATTAGGGTCCTTGGAAATACTATATGTTTTATTATTTTTTCAATTAGATCATTTTTCTAAGATGGAGTCTAAGTTTCACCAGACTGTTAATGGGATTCATTCATGAAAAAAGTTAACACTGAATACAGAAAATTTCAAAATCCCAAACTTGTCATTTGGCAGAGTTGCCACCAGGGGGCGAGGCAACCAAAGGAATGTGAGCTTCCGTGATGAAGTCCTTGAAAGAAGTGGAATCTTGGTCACTCCAAACATATGACAGAGAAAAACCCATGCCAGGAGCAGCCCCAGAGAGGGGACCCCTAAGATTTTGTCATCTAGGGAACCCGGAGGCGGGCAGGGCAGACACTGAACAAGAAGGGCGCAGGTCCCCTGGCAGCCAGTTCTCTCCCTGCTGCACACCAGGTGCTCCTGATTAAGCAGGACTGGGCATCACTCATATCCTCTGCTCCTCTGCCCCACCCCACCCCGTTCCCATCTCTCTTGCTTAGACGGTGGAGAAGACGGTGGAGCACCTGGAGGCCGAAGTGAAAGGCCTGCTGAGCCAGCTGGAGGGGCTGGCCTGGAACCTGCCCCCGGGGCCCTTCAGCCCGACCCCCGACCTCCTGGGAGATGGTGAGCGCCTCAGGTGGCAGAGATGACAGCCCTGGGGCTGGGCAAGCAGGGTGGGATGGGTGCTCTGGTGTAGCCTGGACAGGAGGCCTCCAGCTCCTCCTCCGGACAGAAGTGGGCAGGCATTTCCCCAGCTCACCCCAAGTGTTCTCAGCCCCCACCCCGGGTGGCTGCAGGCCAGCGTCCCATCAGGGCTCCTGGGACACACTCCTCCGGTCCTCTCATCTCCCTTCCAAGGACCACCCCTGTGCCACCAGGAAACCTTTCAAGAAAGACTGGCGTCCCGCTGACCCGGCAGTGGAGGGATTGCACCTGCTCCCTCCTTTCCTTGAGCCCTGTGATCCCCGGCACAGTTCCCAGGACCCAGGGGCGGGGCAGGGTACCTTCAGCACCCCTCACTCTGAGCCACCCTTTCTTCCAGATCGTTAGTGAGTCAGGAGATGGAGTTGCCCAGCAGCTGGAAGTAATACACCTGCCCGACAGCTCTCCTCTGAGCCTTGCACCTGGCCTTCCTCCCTCCGCTTTGTGCAAATAAAGCTACTCCTCTGACCCCGCTGACAGAGTGGACCCTACAGCGGCAGCCCTTCTCCACCTACCCCCATGCCCTGAGGCCCACTTCCCCCTGGAGGCTTGGGCCAGGGCACCCCCAGCCTGGCTGTGCTTCAGCCCTCCTTTACTAGGCGGGCAGGGCAGGGTTGGCTCACAGAGGTGAGGCACCTGAAGCTGAGAATCGTAAGATGACTCAGCGGAAGGGCCTTTGGGGAGCCTGGCTACTCAACGTATGGGCTCACCTGGGAGTTTGTCAGAAATGCAGAATTTGGGGCCCCAATCACACCTCCTGAATCAGAATTTACATTTTAATGAGATCCACCAGGGGATTTCTGTGCCCATTAAGGTTTTTAAAAAGATTTCTATTGAGGTAAAATTCACATAGCACAAAATTCAAAATTGTAACCATTTTAAACTGTACTAGTTCAGTGGCTTCGCAACGTTGTGTAGTCATTGCCACTGATTCCAGGACATTTTGATCAGCCCAAAAGGAAGCCCTGCCCCTACGAAGCATCACTTCCCGTTTCCCCTCCCACCGTCCCTTGGAAACCACTGACATTCTGTCTCTATGGACTTGCCTGTCCTGGACATTTCCTATAAACGGGATCATACAATATGTGATCTTTTGTGTCTTTTTTCCCCTACTTAGCATGTTTTCAAGGTTCATCCATGTTGTAACAGGTGTCAGTCCTTCACTCTCTTTCATGTGGACGTATGCTTTCATTTCTATTGGGTCTATACTAGGGATGGAATTGCTGATTCAAATAGTAACTCTGTCTAAAGTTTTGAAGAATCACCAAGCGTTTTCGCATCGCAGCTGGACCAATTCACCTTCCCGCCAGCAATGTTTGTGTAAGAGTTTCAGCCCTTCTGCATCCTCGCCATGTCTTTTTTGTTACAGCCACCATACTAGGTGTGCAGTGGTATTTCGTGGTTTTAGGTTGCATTAAACTAATGACTAGTGATGCTGAGCATCTTTTCATGTGTTTGTTGACTATTTTTATGTGTTTTTGTGTTCTTGTTGTTTTTGTTTTTTTCATTTTTTGCAGCAAAAAGCTTTATTGTTTCATTTGGCCCAATTCATGGGAGAGGGTTTCAGGGTGGTTAAAAGAATGGCTAGTAGTTCCGGGAAGAGGCTCAGGCAAAAGCCAGACTCCAGGGGGATGCAGAGGGGCCCTCAAAGGCCTCTGGGCTCCAAAGGCTCCTAGTCCTGCCTGAGGGTGAGCCTTTCGAAGAGATACTCGCCCAGCCCAGCCTGGGGGCCGCCAGCCTGCGGAGGTGAGTCAGGTACCGCCCATCTTCTAGATGAGTTTCACCTGCTCACCCAGGCAGTGGTTCTCCAGGAAGTCACAGAGCTGAGGTCTGTGCGGGTAGAACCCGGGCCTGCAGCTCCAAAGGGCCTGGTTCAGGTTCTTCTCCAAGGCCACGGCGGCTTCCATGGCGTCCTGAGTGTTACCCACCCATCTGGGGAAGGCTCCTGCACGTCCTGGAGGAGAATGCGGCCACCGCGCAGGTTTTGCCTCTTTAAGAGACGCTCAGCGCCCTCGCGCTTCTGTGTCGTGGTCAAAGTAGAAGCCCAGAGAGAGGTAGGTGGGGAGGCCCGCAGGTGCAGGCAGGCCAGCAGCTGACTGCAGCCTGCACCTCCGTGGAATAACTGATGACTCTGGGAGCTCATGGTTGCTCGGCAATGAGTTAAGGTAGAAAAAAAGAAAAAGCAGTATGTTGACTGGTCTCGGAGGTGGTTCTGAAGGTGGTGACTGGATAAGACGCAGGAGAGTGGCCGGAGGCTGGGAGAAGGGGTGTCCCTGGGTCTGTTCCATCCAAACACTGTTGAAGCAAGAGACAGATCAGGGACGCCAAGGGCACTGCCTTTATGTGTGTGATTTTAAATGGCTATTCAAGTATTTGCCCATTTAAAAAATTGGATTGTCTTTTGTTGTTAGAATTCTTTATGTGTTGTGGATACTAGGCTTTTATCAGATATGTAATTTGCAACTATTTCCTCCTATTCTGTGGGTGGTCTTTTTACTTTCTTGATAGTGTTCTTTATCAAAAGTTTTAATTTTGATAAAATCCAATTTGTTGTTGTTGCTTGTGCTTTTGGTGTCATGTTTAAGAATCCAGTGCCAAATCCAAGGTCACGGATGTTGTTTTCTTCTGAGATTTTTATAGTTTTAGGTCTTACATTTAGTTCTTTGATCTATTTTGAATTAATTTTTGTTTATGATGTGAGGTAGGGATTCAACTTCATTCCCTTGCTTGGGATACCTAGTTGTCCCAGCACTGTTTGCTGAAGGTGATATTCTTTCCCCATTGAATGGTTCTGGGACCCTTATCAAAATCAATTGAGCAGAGATGTTTAGGTTGATTTTTCAATTCTATCTCATTGACTTTGTGCCTATCCTTATGCCAATATCATACTATATAAATTACTGTAGATTTGCATTAAGTTTTGAAATTAAGATGTATGGGTTCCCTGACTTTGTTGTTCTTTTCCAATACTGTTCTGGCTATTTGGGGACCAGTCCTTTGCAATACCATAGGAATTTTAGTATCAGCTTATCCATACCTGCAAAAAGACAATTGGAATTTGATAGGGATTGGACTGAATCTGTAGATCAACTTGCAGAGTACTGCCATGTCAACAACACTGTCTTCCAACCAATGAGCACAGGATGTTTTATGTTTTTGTATTTTTCAGTGTACAAGCCTTACACCACATTGGTTAAATTTACCCTTAAATATTTTATTCTTTTTGATATTACTGTAAATGGGATTGTTTTCATTTCATTTTCAGATTGTTCATTGCTAATGTTTAGAAATACAAGGGATTTTTATATGTTCATCATGTATCTTACCCTGCAACTTTGTCGAATCCCTTTATTAACTCTAATAGTTTGTGTGGATATTTTAGGATTTTCTATATATACAATCATGTCATCTGTTACTTTCCAATTTAGATGCCTGTTATTTCTTTTTCTTGCCTAATTACCCTGGCTAAAACTTCATTCTTTCATCATGAAGTACATCAACTGTTTTTTCACAGATGCCCTTTATTTCAGTTTGATAAATATCCCTTCTATTCTTAGTTTCTTGGGTTTTTTAATCATTAAATGTTGTTGGGTTTTCCCAAATGCTTTTTCTGCATGGAGATGATCATGTAGTTATTTCCTGTTAATAATGTGTATTACATTGATTTTTGAATATTGAATGAATTTTGTATTCCTTTGATTTATCTCACTTGATCATAGTAAATCTTTTAACCTGCTGCTAGATGCAGTTAGTTAGTATTTCATTGAGGATTTTTGCACTTTTCTTGTGATGTCTTTGTCTGGCTTTGGTATCTGCTAACACTGGTCTCAGACTGAATTAGGAAGTGTTACTTCTATATTTTGGAATAGTTTGAGAAAGATTGATGTCACGTCTTTAAACATTTGATAGAATGCATCAGTCGACTTTTTCTTTATTGGGAATTTTTTAAATTACGGATTTAATCTCATTATAGGTCTATTCAGATTTTTTATTTCTTCTTGAGTCAAATTTGAGAATTTGCATGTTCCCAAGAATCTTCTACTAGTATTTCCTCTAGGTTACCTAATATGTTGACATACAATTGTTAACAGTATTTTCTTGTAATCCTTTATTTGTATAGAGTTGTTAGTAATATCCCTTTCATTTCTGATTTTAGTAATTGAATCGTCTCTCCTCCATCTAACTAAAGGTTTGTCAATTTTGTTTCATTGATTCTATTGTTTTTTCTTCTACTCTCTATTTTATCTGCACTCTAATATTTATTTCCTTCCTTTTGGTTGCTTTGGGTTTAGTTTGCTCTTCTTTTTCTAATTCCTTAAAATGGAAAATTAGGTTATTGGTTTGAGATCTTTTTCCTTTTTTTAAGGTAGGCATTTACAGCTGTTTCCCTCTGAGCAATGCTTCCACTGCATCCCACCTTTTGGTATATTGTTTTCATTTTCATTAATCTCAAAGCATTTCCTAATTTCTCTTGTAATTTTAACTCATTTCGGTTATTTTTTTAAGAGTATGTTACTCAGCCCTGGACGGTTTGCTCAGTGGGTAGAGCGTCGGCCTGTGGACTGAAGGGTCCCGGGTTCGATTCTGGCCAAGGGCACATGCCCGGGTTGCGGGCTGGATCCCCAGTGTGGGGCGTGCAGGAAGCAGCCAATCAATGATTCTCCTCATCATTGATGTTTCTATCTCTCTCTCCCTCTCCCTTCCTCTCTGAAATCAATAAAAATATATTTTTTTTAAAAAGAGTATGTTACTCAGTTTCCATATATTTCTAAAATTTCCAGATCTCCTCCTGGGTATTTCCCATGTGCACTTGAGATGTATATTCTATTGTTGGGTGCGCTGTTCTATATGTCTGTTAGGTCTAGGTAGTTTGTAGGGTTCAAGTTTTCTGTTTCCCTTTTTCCTTGCCTAATTGTTCTAATAGAGAAAGTGGGATGTTGAAGTCTCCAACTATAATTGTTGAACTATTATTTCCTGTCAGTTTTCTTTCAAACTTTCCTGGGGCTCTTCATTTTCCAAAGGGGCAAGAGGCCCAAAGAGGGTAAGTGACCTTTCCAGGATCACACAGCAAATCGGTGGCTCAGCTGAGATCAGAACAGGGATGCTGATTCCCGGGCCAGTGCTTTCTACTTCAGGACTAGCTCAGCTCTGATTGTTGGGAAGGAACCAGGTTCAGGGTGGACCCCAGGTTTAGGAAAAGGAGAACTTTCCAAGGAGCCAGGGCTGAGGGTAAGAGCCCCTCGCAGAGTTGGGGGCCTGACTGATTGGATCCTTTGCTGAGAGAGGACCCTGTATGTGGCCAGGTGGAGGACTGGTAATGACCCAGCTCTCAGAGGAGCACAGGTGATAGGTGTGGTGGGTGAAAATGTAAGCTGGTATCTGCCTGGGGAGATGGTTTAGGTTGATTTCTGTTTCTAGGTCTGACTCCACGTCATATCAGCCAGGGCAGGAAGAAGCTGACAGTAAAAATAGGGTCAAATCGCAGGCTAGGATTATAACTCCCCATCAAAGTAAGAGAATGGGCATGGTGTGGCCATCCAGCTGTTGCTTGGACCAGGGGTATCTGCAGGAGTTCACCTCTCAGATCCTTCTTCCCAAAGCTGGGAGTGGACATGTTCCATCTCCCATTACCTAACTGGATTCCAAACACCCTGCCACCTGTACAAATACCCTCTGTGTGAACACATCGTTCTCAGAAGTTCTCTGTCTCAGTACTTAGATGGGCATCAGAATCTCAAGGCAAGCAGGTAGCAGATGCAGGTCCTGGGCCCCATGCCGGCTCTGAATCTGTGAGGGTGGGGCCCAGGACCTGCATCTTTAACAAGCTCCTCGGATGATCCTGATGCACACGCAGGTATTTACTATCTTTATCTGATTCAGTGTCACAGAAACACATCTCAGACAGATCAGTGTTTAAAAGGCTCACATCTGATAGATAATTCCCCCCACACCTCCCTTTGTCTCCGTTGCAGGGACAACACTGTTTCTGCAGCTTCCTCATACATGAAAGCACTGTCAAGATTATTGTGGTTAAGCCGTGACTCGGTTGGGCACCGTCCCCTGCACCAAAAGGTTGCCGGTTTGCGATGCAGTCAGGGCACAACGTGTCCAGGTTGCAGGCTTGATCCCTGGTGGGGGCAGGAGGTGGCTGATAGATATACCCCTCTCAATCAATGTTTCTCTCTCTTCCTCTCTAAAAAATCAATAAAAAAATATATATTTTTAAATTTGTGGTTAGCCCAGCTGGCATGACCCAGTGGTTGAGCATCAACCTATGAACTAGGAGGTCAGGGGTTAATTCTTGGTCAGGGCATATGCCCAGGTTGCAGGCTCAATTCCCCATGGGGTGTGAAGGAGGCAGCCAATCAATGATTCTCTCTCTCTCCCCCTTCCTCTGAAATCAATAAAAATATATTAAAAAGACTGTGATTAAGAAGGTGGTGAATATAGAGCTGGAGTTTTACCTCCCCTTTTGCTTCATTTTTCATTCTATTTTCGAATCTAAAGTGCTCAGAACCAACCTTGGTACAGGCCTCCACTTGGACAATTACAGCTCGATGGAAATATTGAATGGGCTTTGGTGGAGACAGAAGTATTCTCAAAGTATTATCCATGGAGTTCATGGTGTTTAACAGTGGAGGCTACCTGCTGGGTCTCCCCCCCCCCCCCCCACACACACACACACTTCTATTGTCTGGGCTACCCAGTTCAAGCCTCAGTTCATTGGGTCCCATTACAGCATATTGACTCCCTGACTCTGCAATAGAACTGCTTTTTCTTTTTAAATGTTCCTAGTTCCTTTCCTCGGTATTTTATGTCACACTAAGGTTTAAGAACAACCACGTCAGGGCTATTTCCCCAGAAATACAAAGTGTGCATTCCAAGGTTCCTTCCCTAAATGTTACAGCCGAGACGAGTGACTCACTTGCCGCACCCTAGTCCCAGTGCTACCCTTAGCACAGTGTTCCTTCCGGGGCCCCACCGCTGTTGAAAACTTACTAAGGGCTGAATTCACCTGGAGCCCCATCCTCTATTCTGGAAGTGACATTAGACGTGAACCATGGACTGGCCTTAACCAACAACCCAAAAGGCTGCAGAAAACCCTGTGTAGTCCTCTCCCAAAATGATGATCTGTAAGGTCAAATGCCTCCCTCCCCATCTTTTTTTGTTCTGAGAATAATCACTGTTAACAACCTCCCACTGACCTTAAAAGCCAGGTACCTTGGCCCCTGGAGAGATCTATGAGTTCACAGCCCTCCAGCCCAAACTATGGATTGGGTCCCCTGGACATGAGCAAGAAGGCAGCCAGAGGGACAGGAAGGCAAAGGGAACCAGGACCAGGATGAGCACAGGTGTCCCAAGTGCAAAAACTAGGGTCTCAAATTCAAAGGCCTGCAGGGGCCAAATAGGTAACATGTGATGGTGGAGCACATTAGGGAGTGGTGGGTCCTGTAGCGAAATGAAGAGTATATGCCTAAAGGGGGCAACAGCAATTTGGCTCCAGCAGCATCTGCTGTGCAGGAATGCTAGGCCAATACTGCCAGAATTTTTGGTTTTTCAAGAGAAGCCAGGAATGCCCTGGCCGGTGTGGTTGTTGGTTGAGCTTCCTCCCGTATTCCCGTCAAGGCACATACCCAGGTTTAGGGTTTGATCCCTGGTCAGGGCATGTGTGGAAGGCAGTAGATCGATTTTTCTGTCTCTCCCTCTCCCTTCCTCTCTCTCAAATCAATTTTTTAAAAAAGAAAGAAAACAGCATCAATTTTCTTCCTTTATTTTAAAAAGTCTAAACTTGTGTAAACATGAAATCTTTCAGTACTTAAGTGTTGGTAACAAGTTCAAATATCTAAAAACTCATTGGAGACCAAAGTCAATGCATGTGCAGTTAGACAGCGCCTGCTGGGCACCAGGCTGGAACCCTGGTGTAGACAACCGGGCAGGCGTGTCACAGACATCGGCAGTCAATCGGAGCAGACCGAACCCAGGCACCCAGCTCTGAGGCTGCTGGGTCAGCCTGAGTTCACGGCAACTTGGGCAACGCCAAGTGGTCCATCCCGCCAGGCAGGGCACACCTCCACCCAAGGGCAGGGGCCTGCCCTAGGGAAGGAACACCTCAGCCAAGCATACTGGGTCTTGGGCAAGAGGCTCCAGCACGGAAACTGAGGCAGAGCTGGCGTGACAGGAGGGCCTGCCATTGGTGCCAGTGCCCACACCAGTCTCCTCTGGCTGGGGAAGGCAGGTCTAGGTAGACCAGGCTCCTGTCCTGCTTATGGCTGCTCCATGCCCCTTGGGTGATCCCCTCCTCTCACCATGTCCAAGGGGCAGTGAGGAGGTCTCCCCAAGCCCTCGCAGTCTCGGGATTCTCTCCTTTCTACACTTTCCACATAGGAGGTCAGAGAGGGAGTGAACAGAGACCCCTGACCAGCAAGCTCTGGGTTCTGGACAGGACAGTGACTTCTGGACACTCTGCCCCTTCTGGACTTGCCCTGTCCTCACACCATCAACCAGGGGGCAAGGAGCCTGCCAGGGCCACAGCCAGGACCACCCGCTCAGACGGAGGGTCCTCAGGGAACCTGGCAGTAAGGCCTGACCAGGAGGCACGCACAGGCTCCTTCCCGTGTCCCTCCTTTGGACCTGAGCAGCGCGACCCCCCCCCCCCCCCCCCGCACCCCGCTCTCATTGTACTCAAATCTCCGCGCCTTCTCAGTGCCTGGGCCCCGCGAGGATTTCAGAAGCATCCTTACAACCTGGGTCCCTGTGAACTGCTCATGCCCAGGTTCCTGAGCACAAGCTTCTGTGTAACGCCACATACATTTCACTGGCTAATAAGGCTGGAACCCCTGGGAACAGGGCAGAATCACGAAGCAGAAGAAAAGAGGCTGGCACCAGGGGGACGTTTCCAGAATGTTCCAGAGCTGGCTGGCTTTAATTTAGAAAGAGCTTTGGCCATCAGCATCCAGGTGTAAGGCACATTCTCCATTACAAAGAGCCCTGTAACAGGGGGCTGGCTCTGTTCCCTGCTTTTACATGAAGAAGGAACAGATGACTTTCTGGCTTTTTTTTTTTTGTTTTTTCTTCTCTAAAAAGCAGTGAGTTTGGCAATAACAAAGCTCATGACACATCCTCACCAGATTCAAAGATTGCCCTGAAAGGTCCTCCCTTTTCCTCCTCAGTGAGGACATGGCACTGCCCCCCGACCGCTCGCACCCGAAATGTGTGGCAGCGGAGTAGACGCACCTGTCTGGCAATGACTATAAAAAATGCCTCCAAAAAACATTATCTCCGCTACAAGCAAAGGGGAATGGCTGCATGAGTCAGAGATAAAACATCTACTTTAGCAGCAAGAGGCAAACATCTACTTTAGCAGCAAGAGGCTGTGAGGGGGGTGGAGGGAAGGAGACGGTGTCCTGAGCGTCCAGGCCAACCAGGCCCGTGGGCATGACCAGGAGGGGCGGGTGGGGGACAGGGCCGAGGCTCCACGGGTTGTTGGCACTGGGGTTGGGGGCTATTTTGTGGGTTTGGTAGAAAGAGACAGACATTCTTTTGGCCTTTTCCTAGCATCACTGTTGCTGGCAGGTGGACAGAGTGAGCCACTGGTCACCGTTCAGTCGTTGCCACCACAGATCTTCAGCAGAATCTTCCGGTAATCCCCCGAGGTGTCCCCCTGTCAGAGAAATGGGTGCATCAGTCGAGGGAGACGTGGCCAGTCTGGGCCTCCTGGCTCCTCATTTTCTTCTCCCCCAAGTGCCCCTACAGAGCGGCAGGCCCATCCCAGGGAAGTGCCCTGTCACGCAGGTCCCAGAGTGGCCAAGACGCCCCCACTAGGCACTAGGGCCTTGACCATGCAGTTGGCCTCCCCCAGCCCCCTTAAAAAAACAGAAAGCTACAATCACCCCAATGTCAAAGTCAGAATCTGAAAAATAAACCCACACAAATTTTAAATGGTCAGACACACCGCCCAGGGCTAACTAATGGCGCCACTTTCCCCCGTATTTGTGTTGCGCCCGATGGGGTTTATACTGTAACAGTGGTGTGTCCCACTCGGGAAATGTGCCAGACTGACAGTGGGGGGCGCTGTATTAACTGGGCACCCAGTTCACACTGCTGTCCCTCCCTCTGAGCCCACAGGACTGACTTCAAAGTGCAGCCGCGCTTAGCTAATGTGTAATCAGTTCCTTCCTTAAAGGCAAGGCCTGTGGGGTCTTGCAAATGCCCACAGCTGCTGGCACAGAAAATGATACTTCGTGGCTAATTACTAATTCTCTTCTACAGAGAGCATCATCGTTACAGCCAGGGCAATGGAGTTAGCTTCTCCCAGCGACACGCTCAATAGTACATGATAATGGTTTGAAATCGGGACTTGGTCATGGTGACTGCAAGGCTCACGCGAGTTCGGAATTTAACTGTCAGGCCACGCAGACAGGAGTACGCCTGTCACACAGCTCCGCACACGTGACTGTCAGACCCGTACGCGTGTCACTTACAGGGACCTCGTTCAAGTTCACCACTCCCAGGGGAGCACAGCCCCTTGCCTTTCGATGGGGGATGGGTTTTGAGGGTTAAGGTAGCTGCTCAATCACACAGACCTCCAGCGCCAGGGCTGGGCTCCACGCTGCGGGACTGACCCGAGCCCTCTGCACCGCCCTCCCTACTGCTGAGGACGCGGGGTGCGGTGGTAGCAGGGAGGGCCTATTTGGGGCAACTGGATGAAGAAGTAAAAGCTGAGAGAGAAAGTGCAAGGTCCACAAACAAGACCCGGCAGAGGCCGAGGCCGAGCCGTGGGAGCTGAGGGAGGTAAAGGAGGCAGTGAGGGGGCAGGGTGCCTGCAGGCCCGTACCGTGATGTCGTGGTACAGCGACTTGCCGTACAGCCGCTTGTACTCCGTTCTGATGTCCAGGAGGTCAATCTCGCTGCGAGACACCATGATGCGAATCAGGGTCCGGTCCTTTGTTCCTGCTCCCTAGAGAGTCCACCGAGGGTGTGAGCAACGGGCCTCACCACCCCACCTTCCCGGGTCCTTGGTGCCCTCCTGCCTGAGGGGTAGCTCTCCCCATGCCTTCTACCAGGAGCGTTGGTCCCAGCCAGAGGTGAGGCTGACCCGCCACCCCCCGCCCCTCCACGGGGAAGTTGCGTACCCTCATGGCCTTGTTGAGCCTTTCAGCAAAGAAGGCAGGGGTGTTCTTGAGACATTTCACTGGAAGAGAAAAACACAGCATAACTCGCTCTGCAGGGAACAGTCCAGGGGGCCACCTCCTCCCCCTTCTCCTCCAGGTTCAATCAGCCACGGTCTCAGCTGCAGTTCTTTGGATAAACATGCAGGGCCTGGACAGCACCCCGGCCTCTTTCCTGGCACCAGCAGGGTGAGGAGCCGAGTAGGGTGACCCCCGCGGTGCTGCTCAGGTGGGAGGGGCAAACTGGAGATGCCGAGAACCTCGTGGAGAAAGGATGGCCGAGGGGGATGTCTCCCCAGAGTTCTCAGGCCATGAGGCCTACCGTAGGGGACACACAGAAAAGCAGGAGGGTTCGTCACCTCTCCCATCAGAAGCTCCAAGAAAAGCAAAGCAGAAGATGGACAAACCATGAGTTTCCCAAGTGGGTTTAAAGAGGGGCCAGCCCTGAGGGGCGGGACCTGGAACACTGGCTTCAGAGGGCAGGGGGCGGGCCTGCCAAGCGCACACCGTCGCCCGGGCGCTAGGCCAGCTCTCCTCCAGCGAGGCTGGTGTTGCTGTTGCAACCACGTGTTTCCATCACAAACATCTGACAACTGCCTGCGGGGATGTATTTTTAGAGGAAACTTGGCAGGACGTGAGTCATCTCTCCCAGCAGGGCAGCTGGTTGCTCTCCCACTAATGCCCACACTGCACGCCCTTCCCAGAGCTGCGCTTGAAATAGAAACAAGACACCTCCAGGCGGCTGGGGGCGCAACCACGCGGTGATGGGGGAGCAGGGCGACCTCCCACGTGTAGCCACTGGACTTGGCAATCTTGGGTCCTGTGGTTCTTTCACTGCTCTGCCTGCCCTCGACAGAGGATGGTGAGCACCCTGAAAGCTTACAGTGCATGCCAGTCCTGGCGGACATGCAGGCCCAGGACACCTACCCACGGCGAGCATGCCCTGCTCCAGGTCCCCGGACATCTCCCGGCAGATGCTCTTCTCAATGTCTCGGCCTGTCATTCGCTGATACTCGTTGAAAACTAGTGAGAAGAGAGAAGGAACACGTTGTGAGCTGAATTCTGTCGTTTTCCCTAAATTCCTATGAAGTGCTAGCCCCCAGTACCTCAGAATGCGGCTGTAGTTGGAGAGACCTAGGTACCTTTAAAGGGGTAATTAAGTTTGCCCTGGCCGGGTGGCTCACATACACCACCTTGGGGAAGTTGCGTACCCTCATGGCCTTGTTGAGCCTTTCAGCAAACAAGGCTGGGACCAGGGCTCTGGCTAGACGGCATGGGGAGTCACACCTCCTGAGTGGACCTCTTGCCATCCCAGAACCTCAAACACTTCTTTTTTTAAAAAAAAAAAAAAAATGTTTTTTATTGACTTCAGAGGACCCTGGCCTGAAATAACTACAAAGCTGAGCCCTGTGGGTTATGGTACTGTCTCCTTGTCTTTTTTTTTTTTAAACACATTTTTATTGATTTCAGAAAGGAAGGGAGAGATAGAAACATCAATGATGAGAAAGAACCATTGACTGGCTGCCTCCTACACGTCCCCTACTGGGGATTGAGTCCAGAACCCTGGCATGTGCCCTGACCAGGAATCAATCGCTCAACCACTGAGCCACACCCGCTGAGCCCATTGGCTGATTCTTGCATGTGCCCTGACTAAGGATCGAACCTGCAAGCGTGGGGCATTGGGACAATGCTCCAACCAACTGAACTATCCAGCCAGGGCCAAATCTCTTTTTCAGTTCGAGATCACCTGGCCATAGTCACATAGACCCAGACAGGATGTCGGAATAGATTTGTAATCCACTTTTAAGGTGAAGGGAAATGTTTTGCTCATTGTTTGCCTGAAATCTTGGCTTACCTTGATATTGCATTGTGTGCCCACCACCCAAAGTCAAATCATCTCCGTCACCATATACTTGGCCCCCTTTACCCGTTACTACGAGGAGGCGAAAGCCCCATGCAGAGAGGAGCTGCTGTTGTACCTTGTCTGCCCTGGTTACCTGGCCCCGGGAGGTCTGGGACTGCCTTACCTGCCACCAGGTGGGCCCGGCTCCGAGCGCACAGGATTGCATTGAACTTGGACTCATCTGTTCCCAGGCGGTTCTCCCCAGCTGCGTACAGATCCTGGACAGACAGAGGGGAAGATGGGCATGCCATGCAGGCTCACCCAGACACCAGGCCCAGGTCACCTACTGGAGCTGGGCAGAGACTCCGGGCCCCGCAGGCCCAGAGGAGAAGGGAACAGGGCCAGTGCCCCTGCTGTGCTCCATTCACTGTGCAAAACGGGACACCATCCGCACGTCCCTTCCCTGGCAACATCACGGATCCTAAAGCTGGGGGACTCAGACCCAGGAGAACCGAGGCCGACGGGAGCCAGGATGGGGCAGGAACTGCTTTAACCCAAGCAAGGGTGCAGCAGCACCCAGGGTAAAAGAACAAGGGGCCTCGGCCCGAGTCCTCGTTCACAGCCAACTTGCCGTGAGGCTCTCGGCAGGCCACTGGCCCTCTCAGAGCCTCGTTTCCTCATCTCTACAATGTGAACGTTGGATTAGGTTTGGGGTCACAAACCCAAAAGCCCAAAGGGCCACCTAGGTCACCTGAGGATACAGGGCCAGAGAGAGGTGGGAACCAAGGCTAACCACAGAGGGTGGCTACTTCTCAGCACCAGCCGAGTCCAGTGACCGAGCAATGCAGGCTCACTCTGCCAGGCCCACTGCACACGAGCAGCCAGATGCTGATTTCTAAGTGAAGTTCCCAGTTTTTCAGAGAAACATGTGAGATAAGTATGACAACAACTGATAAGTCAGTGACAGATGTGGAATTCATATGCGAGGCACTTCCCTGTGGTTGCATTGCCAGTATGTTTGCAAATGGGCAGAATCTGCATTTGCCTGTTAAGCTTTTGAAAGTGCAAGTCCAAAATATTTGCCAATTTGCAACCCCTGCAACAGGTGGCTCAAAAGTGCCTTCCAGCCTCAGGTAACAGCTTTTAGATCTAAAGGCACCAACATGCAGGGGAGAGGGTGGCCATCAGGGGCTCCAAGACCCCAGGTCAAGGGAAGGCAGGAGCAGGTCCAGGCCATGAAGGCAGAGCAGCAGACACAAGACCTTGAAACTGAGGCCACTCCCACATCAGCTGGGAAACGGCCCACACAGGAAACAGGAAAAAGGAATATTCCCACCGAGGCCAGAACCAGAGCCCGGAGCTATGAAACTGTCTGAGTCTAGAAATGGGGATGGGTGTCCCCAGCAGGGGGATGTTACGGCAGACCCTCAGGAGGGCATCTGGGACCAGGGGTCAGTGCTCCCTGCAGGAACAGAGCCAGGAGCTGTGCCCTTGTCCAGGCTCTGCCTCCACGTTTCTCTAGGCACAATGTCAACCTTTCTGAGTCTCAGAAAGCAAAATGGACCAGGTTGTAAGAGTGGCTCTTTTCCGACCCTAACAAGAGGGCACTCCACAGAGGTGCTCTTCAACCTGACCACTGGGGGAGACGGGAGACCACGGCAGTGCCTGGGAAGCCTGCGAGGTGTCAGGGGCAGTGACGAGGGAGAGGGATGGCCGCTCCGTCCACCAGGGAGCTGGGCTCTCACCAGACTGGATGCTCTGAATTCGTTCGTGGGAAACCCAAACTCCTCCAGAGGGGCACTCAGATGCCTGGACCAAGAGAGAATGGGGACTTGCCCCCTCTGTTCTGCAGTTCACACCAGACTGGGGACAGGACAGAATTCTAAGGCTGCACAACTAACGTGACAGCTGGTTTCCAGGCTCAAACCTTCAAAAGCTTCACAAGCAAATGTGGACTCTGCCCATTTGCAAACATCATGCATATGCAACCAAGAGAAGAGCCAGGTCACACGAAGTCCCACCTTCGTAACCGTGACCTACCAACCGCTCTGACGGTCCCCGTGGAAGCTCCCTCAGACAGGGAAACAAGCCCCGGGCGGGGACCTGCTCAAGGCCGCACCGCTGATGAGCAGCAGGGCCTCTGAAAGCCACAGCATCGGGATCCACTCCTGTCGGTTCTCGTTCCATCCCAGACCCCCTCTCTCAGGAAGCAAGGAAGTGGCCCCCCACCAGCCCAGGAAGCCCAGGCAGGTGCCTGATTGGCCACCACACTCACCTGGACATCTCTCTGGACGAGCGACATGTCCACATTTGTGCTTTCATCCCTGTTTCCCTGAAAAGAAACAGGCTGTGTGGTCAAGGCCACTCCCTGGAGTTGCCCCTCGCTCCCCATCCTTTCCCTCCCTGCCCAGGGAGGCCCCTCTCCGCTGCGTGGGAAAGGTACCTGAGAGAGAGAGATGAGGAGCCGCTGGAAGTGTCCTGACGTGTCGCTTCGTATGGCCTCCTCCAGGGTCTTTCTGAACTCTGGGGGACACACAAAGGCCCACCTTGTAGCCCGGTGGACAGAGCTGCCCACTGCAGACAGTCAACAGTGAGCACTGGCAAGGGAAGAGCCGGGAGTCCTGGGCTCGAGGAGACAGGTGGCCCACGTGGCTCTCCAGGGACACACATTGGGAAATCCTGGGGGGCTGTGAACGCCAGGCTGACCTGGCCTCTCGCCAGGCTTGGCCCAAACCATGCCCAAGAGGTTTCTCAGCCCTCGCTTCCTTTAGTCAGTGTCCTGTGTGCAAACAGCAGGCAGGGTTGGGTCTTGGACCAAAGCCCCATGTGCTGGTTGTGGCTGGGGAGTGAGGTGATGAGAATCCAGGAAGGAACAGAGGCCCTAGGAGAGGGTGTGGCCAGGCCTGGATCACACCGGGATCTGCGGAGGGCCTGGGGCCTGGGGCAGCCTACCTGCTTGGTAGGCTCTGCTCAGTTCCCGGATGTGGTCGTTGTTGCGGGAGGCGAGGATCTCGATCAGACAGGCTTCGTCTGTGCCAGCCCCCTGCAGAAGGCACAGCAAACCGCAGGTTTGTTACGCTCCCTCACTGGCACCCAGGAAAGAGCAGGCGCCGTGCCACTGCCCTGCTCCCCAGGGTACAAATCCCAGCAACAGAAGTCACAGAGCCCCTGGTGCTGCTGTCCCTCTGAGAGCAGCCATGCCATCCTCCGCAGCCCCAGGGCGGCACCAGGTGACAGCGACGTGATGAGGGACCACACGGAGGATCGTCCCCCTTTTACCCACCGGGAACCTGAGAATCAGAGGGGTAGTGACTTGTCCCAGGCAAAGTGGGTTGAGATGGGGACTCAGAATGTGTTATTCCAAGTTCAGCGCATGAATGAGATGAGAAACAACTGAGAGTGGGCATGTGGGAAAACGAGCCTCAGAATGGACCGTGGGCATCAGCAGACGTCCAGGGAAAGGCAGCAACAGTGAGGATGAGGGAGGATGGCAGGGACAGTGAGGGCGAAGGACAGGGCACCAGCCTGGCTTCTGTCGGTCTGAGTCCCCGCCCTATTGCTGACTAGCTGTGTAACTGTACAAACACCACTCAGCCCCTCTGGGCCGCAGCTCACCGGTCCATACAATGGGCAGCCACAGTCCCATTTCACAGATGCTCAAGGACACACAGCTAGTCAGTGACAGCTGACCCCACACCTGGTTGTTTCCAGCACCCCACAACCACCACCACCTCATGAATGGCTGGGGCGGGGGCTGGGCAGGGGTCCAGGGGCCCTTTCCAGGTGCCCTCCCCAATGCCTCCTGACCCCTCAGTAGAAGAAAGCACACGGGGTGTTTCAGGGGAGGCCTCTCCCTTCCAGCTCCACACCGAGGGCTCTCCCTCTCCTCCTGGGGGCAGGCAAGGTCACTGCGCCTCCCCACCTCACCTCTCCGCCACGGAGGAAATGTTGGATTCCTCCCAAAGCACCCCTCTCTGGGCTGCCCTGCCATCCACAGGGATCCCCACTGTGGGTCTGGGATCCCCTGGGGTGTACGGTATGCATAGGATTCTCCGCTTGGTCACAACTGAGAGGCTGGGCAGACACTAAACCAAACCGAGACATTCACAATCTGGACTCAGGAGCCGCTGGCTTCTTCTGTGGCTGGATCTCTGGTGGGCAAATGGACAGGGACCCTCGCCGAGCAGACGAGGAGGGAGCAGGAAGCAGACTGGACTCAGAAGCAACGGCGAGAGCTCCCGCCTGGTGCCTGCACGTGACACCCGTCCTATCTGTCCCCATGCCAGGCTGTTCCTCTCTGTGCTCATAACCGATTCCTCTCTGTTCTGCTTCAAGTGCCCCGGGTGCTTCTGTCATTTGCTAACGAATGAGGATGAGCCACCCGTGCCTCATACCCCTCTACAGCCCCAGCTCCCGCCACGCCGTGAAGATGGAGACACGTGGATGTTCCCTGACAATGAATGGCACTCGGCTTTCCTCTTGGGGAGTCATCGGAAGGTCCCCTTCCACAGCACTTAGCGTCCAGCCCGAGGGGCTGTCGGAGCCAAAATGACAACAGTAGCTGGTGAGCGGCTAAGACACACCACATGGTCCAGGCCCCCCCTGGGCTGTGTCCAAGTGTGAACACACACACATGCACGCTTACACACCTTGATGGCTTCCTTTATCTCGTAAACATCAAAGAGGATTGGGGTCTTCATCAGAGCCAAGATAGTCTTCTCGAAGTTTCCTGACAGTTCAGATTTCAGATCTTTGATCAGATCCTGATTGGATATTCAAACAAACAACAACCCTACTTAGAGACTCCACGGGTGACGAACAGGGACAACTTCACAGATGTGAGGAGGGAGCACTGGCAGAAAAGCCGACTCTCCACCCCAGCCCAGCCCTGCGGAACCGGAGCTGCATCTGAGCCCGTCCCCGGGGGGCCGTGGCACACTGATACTAGTCTACTCAATACTTACCCAGGTTTCACCTTCCAAAGATTCAAAGTTCAAAATATGCCCCTTGCATTTGTTCAGTCCTGAAAGCCTTTTCCTTCAAGCCCTTCTACCAGCCAAGCCTCCAGGGTGGCCATGAAGAGGGCAGGACAGCAGCCAGGTTCCCAGGAGGGGACCAGGCCAGGGGGAGGGAATACTTTGCTTAGGGGCTCAGTGATCATGGCAGCGCCGGGGCGAGAACCCCGATCTCTGGCGCCTGTCATCAAATCTCCGTTCCCTGTGGACTCCGGTTTCTCCCTCAGAGCATCGCTCACCCCTAGAAGGTGCCATCAGCCGAGGCCACTGGCTGGATGGGCAGCAGGAACACCTGATGTGCCTCACTGCCCCAGGGGAGAGCAGGGCTGTGCTGGAGGACGCCTCATTCAGGGGGACCAGCCTCCCTGGCCCTCCCCGGCACCCTCACCTTCCCATATGCTGTCTTGAAGGACAGGAGGATCTGCTGCCGCTGCTTGTTGGAGCGACTCCCCAGGCAGTCGATGATGGCCTGCTCGTCAGTCCCTGGAGAAAGAAGAGGTGGGAGTGGGCAGGGCTGGGGGTCGTGGGATGCTCTGCAGCTGGAGACCCCCTAGGCGTGGCTCCTCCCCTTCTGGGCACCCCAGTGCACCCCCACATCCATCTTTTCTCCACTACCACTAGGGCCAGGCTGCCTTGACCCCGCGACCCCAGCCCACAGAGCCACTGGGTAACTGCTTGGGGGATGGGGGTGGGGGATGGGTGAGCATTTGAGCCACTGGGACCACTCACCAAAGCCTTTCATAGCTTTCCGCAGAACCTCGGCGTCGCGCAAGGGGTCAAAGCCAGGAGCATCGGTGATGGTACCTCGCTTCCCAAACTGCTGGGACAAACAGACTTAGGTAAGATGCTGTATCCCCAGGTGCGACTGCCCACCCGACTCTGGGAATGACCTGTTCTCTGAAAGTTGGGGTAGCTGAAGGAGCTCACAATTAACAGCACAGAGGAACCCACTGAGTGGTCCTATGTGGCCATTATCTGTCCTGCGTCCTGGTACTGACGCTCTGCCTGGCTCCCGTGGCTAGGAGCCCATCTCCAGCTGAGTCCTGATGCTGAAAATCGGCCCTACACCCAGGTCCTGGGGGCTGGCCTGGGCTCCTGCTGAAGGGGAGGCCTCAGGCACAGGAGCCACTGGCTTCTCCTCGATGCCTTACCACCGAAGCATCATCTAATGGCTGGTCCACGGAGCACCTCTGTGCAAATTAGAAAAAGGTGACTCCTCTGGGGGGATGCTGGTGCCCACCCTTCACGATGGTCCAGCAGCCTGACTACCTCCTGGACCAGCACCAGCTCCTGGCACCTCTTCTAGACTCTACAACCTGCTGCTGCCGCCTCACTTCTTCCTGACACTGGCAGCCGTGCTCCCAGCACACTTGAATTTCCCTGCCTCAGCCGTCTCATGTGGGCTATCTTCTGTGGCTAATGCAGACTGATTTTAACAGTTAAGGAGATAAACTCAGAGTTAAGGAGATAAACTCAAGAGAAGAGATGAGGTGGAAGAGAGGAAGGGAGGGAGGGAGAGAGGGAGGGAGGGGAGCAGGGCAGGGGTGGGGGAATGTGAGGGGCAAGGAAGAGAGGGGACCCCTGTCTGAAAATAGTCATCAAGCACATAGCACTAGCATTGCACTTTGCTGGGGTGGCCATGTAACCATGACAATGAACTCGAGGCTCTGCAAACACAAACTGCTCTCCCAGAGGAGCCAAGAGCAATTCTGAAGGAAGGGCCAACCATCTTCCCTACACGGAGGTTTTACAAATCCTCTCAAGTGAGTGGGATGGGAGGTGGGGGCCCATCCAGGAGCTGAAGACTCAGAGCTGTTGGGCATAAAACCTGAGCCCAGGCAGTAAGTAAACAACACAGAGGAATGAAGAGCACCCGGGACATTCACGCCAACTCGCACTCAGAACATCTAACCAAACCGGGAGACAGGGCAGCTCCCTGCTCTTCAGGAATTCAAACCAGGGCTGGGGAGTCTGAGAAAGTGACACTCTGTTAAAACAAGAAGTAGTTACAGCCCTAGTCGTGTTGGCTCAGTGGATAGAGCGTCAGCCTGGGAACCGAAGGGTCCGGGTTCGATTCCGGTCAAGGGCATGTTCCTCAGTTGCAGGCTCCTCCCCAGCCCTGGTTGGGGCACGTGCAGGAGGCAACCAATCGATGTGTTGTTTCTCTCACATCGATATTTCTCTCTGTCTTTTCCTCTCTCTTCCACTCTCTCTAAAATCGATGGAACAATAGCCTCGGGTGAGGATTAAGACAAGACGTTATAACTGGAGGACTGAGCCCTGGCCTGTCCACCCACACCCCCCAGCCACACCCTCCTGGCCTCGCTGGCAGGACACTGGGCCACGCGTCTTGGGCCTTTGGAGCCAGGCTGGGACTGAGGGTAGCACAGGGCTGGCACTCACCTGAGATGGGGGCACGGCAGGGGTGACGGTCCCGGACCCTTGATATGCTGGGTAGCTTGGCACCGGCTGCTGGTGCTGCCCAGGAGGCGGCATTGGTGACTGCCCAGGGTAGGTCATTGGCGGCTGCCCAGGGTAGGCTCCTGGGGGCTGCTGTCCGGGAGGCGGCATGGGCTGGCCTGGCACAGGGGCCCCTGGGTATGCCGGGTATGAAGGCATCCCAGAGGGCGGGTTTCCGCCAGGGGGCGGGTACATTCCATACGGAGGAACAGGCTGCTGGGTGGAAGGGGGCTGCCCAAAACCCCCAGGGGGCAGAGGAGGGTAACCGCCCCCAGGGGCCCCAGGGGCGCCAGGGTACAGGTTTGGCACGTTGGCTCCTCCGAACGTCCCGGACATGTTGGCTGCCTGAAAGTCCACAAAGCAGAGAAGAGCCCAAGACTAACGAGGAGGCCAAGCAGGGCCCAGGACAAACCTGCAGACCACACGGAAACACCCAGGGGACAAAGTCCAACCAGCCCCCTGTCAGGGGGAGAGGGAGCCCTCCCTCCTCCCTTCCCGCCCTGAGCCTGCAGGCCCCCGGCGCTGCCCTCGGAGCCCGAGCACCTGACACCGTCCCACCACACACCACCTGCACTGCTGACCCCCACCTGCTCTTGTGCCCAAAACCCCCACACTGGCTCTAGCACCGCATGGTTACCATGGCAACTGCCCATCTCTTCCCAGTGGTAATCAGTACTCCAGGGCTAAGGCTGTGGTGTGTTTCATCCACATATCCCAGTACCCAGGATGGGCCTGGCACATATTAGACTGCCCACTGGTTACACTATTTACATGGAGCATACATTTGCTTAGATTACAAAGTATACGATTTTAAAAGCAAATCAACAAGGAAAAGTAGCATGTTACCAGGAACCCACTCCCAGGCCCAAGCAGAACAGCCACCCACACATACGTACACACACTCACATTCACACACACACTCACACATACACACGAAGATGGACATTTGTACACGGCACATGCACGCACATACACATACCCACCCTCACCTCCCTGCCGGCCCTATTCTGAGCTCATACAAAAGGCGCTCAACACATTTGAAAAAGGCACCACCCTACCCAACCCCGAAGAGCCGGAAAGGAGCTAACAGACTGTGCGCCCAGTGCGTTCCCCTCCCTGCTTTTACAGCTGGGCAGATGTAGAGGCAGAGAGGGACGGTGAGCAGGTGAGAGCCCTGACAAAAACCCCTATGTCCTAAGATGCTCCTCAGTACACTCAGCATCCACGGTAACACACACAGCCCCCCTGACACCCTGGAAGCCAGCAGCCTCACGCCCTGGCCATGCAGGAGTGGGCCTAGGCAGCCCAGCAGGAGGGCTGGACTCACCATTCCCGAGAGATAGTCCTGGTTGAACTGCCCTGCGTAGTTGGCCACGTTATCCAGCCCAATAGGGGGCATGTTGGGCTGGGGGTAGCCAGCACCTCCCCAGGCACCGCCACCTGAAAGCAACACCAAGCCCGTTAGCCCCTGGTCAGCCCCCCAACAGGGAAAGGCAGAGACGGCAAGCTCCCAGGTGGCCCAGGGGCAGGCCAAGCAGGGTCTCGGAGACAGCACTACAGACCACACAGAACCCCCAGGCAAGCAAGTCTAGCCCAGTCCCACTGCCAGAGGAAAGGAAGAGGGGGCCTTCCTCTCCGTCCAGGAAGGGAAGGGGCGGTTCAGCAACACTCCCAAGCCCTCTGTGGGGTCCTGAGGATGCAGGAGGTCAAGGGCAGATCTGCCCCGCCCAGGCTCCCATCGTAGAGCAAGAGTGCAGACACAAGGACAGGTCATTTTAGGACAATGTGCTGAGTCCACGACAGCAGGAGCTCAGGGAGCACTGAGAATCCAGGGAGATGCAAACGCATGGTGAAGGGGGAGGCTGCCACTGTGGCTGTTTGCTACCGCGAGTCTGCAAGAGGCAGGGAGGAGCAGGTTGGAGGAGGAAAGGAGATGGGCCTGAGTCATGTTAAACAGACACCGTCCTTGTGGGGACAGTGGGGGACATCAGTGAAAAGCCCAGCTCTGGAACCAGCAGAACCAGGGACTGTGTCCTGGGGCGGGGCACCCACCACCGAAGTTCCGTTTCCTCTGGGGACAAGGGGGGATAATAACTAGTGTTTGCTTCAAATTGCCGTGCTGAGGCCGTTAATGCCCATGCAGGGCCTAACTGGGTGCCCAGGGCGCTATGGTACCGCTGTCACTGACAAGCAGCACGCAGCTCAGCTGGCGTCATCATGCCGGCTGCTGGCCTGTTAGATGCATTTCTGTTCTCGGCAGCAAAAGGGCCCTGGGGCCTCCAGTTTGGCTTTTGCGCTGCAGAGCTCCAGACACTCAGGACAGAGCCTTCCCGAGTCACCTGCCTGCTCTCCTGCTGCTCAGACGATAGGATTCCTACTAGAGAGGGACTCCGGCCAGCGCTGGCAAATCAGGACAAGGGCTTGCTCCGAGCGCAATGGCCCAGCTCCACCGATGAGCCAGCAGCTGAGGCCTGACCTTCACCAGGTGATGAGGGAGGGAGTCCAAATGGCCTGTGGGGCCCTCAGTGCTCAAACTCCAGAGCCTCAGCTCTAGAGAAATGAATGTGCCCAGGGGTGAGGGGCATCACAGCTGAGGCCGCTGCAGGATGACCAGCCTGGAATGGTCCCTTCTCCCCTCTTGTCCCAGGAGCCCTCGTTTCCCTCCTACCCTGGGGGCCAGGCCAGAGAAGATGACCTCTAGGTATGCAGAGCAGCACTGCAGCTGGTGCAGCCGCAGAACACCTGCCCCTCAGAGACCGCCTTCACTGCCCCCCACCCCGCACCCTGCAGGGGGACCCTGCACTGCAGGACCCTGCGCCCGGAGCGCAGAAGTGACAAGTCACCTGACAGCTCCGAGGACACCATGCCAGATGCTTTAGCTGGCTCTCTTGTTAGCATCTGAGACAGCCCAGTGGGAGAGATCCGTGAAGCCATTTGTAAAGGAGAAGCCTTTGCCCACCGCTATCAGCTAACAAGTCACGAGACCTGGTCCTGGCCTCCCAGAGGCAGCTTCAAACCCAGGCTCTCCTGCCTCAGGTTCCCTGCCCTCCTCCAGCCGCCACCCCACCTGGCTACACTGTGGGGGACAATCTTATTCCTCCCCTCCCCACACACACGCTTACCTGGTGCAACTGGAGGGTAGCCGCCTGCGGGCGGGGGGTAGCCTGGGTAGCTCATGGTCAAATCTGAAAGGAAGAAAAAAACCGCTCAGGCTCTGCCGGGAGCTCCCACCAGCCTAACCAGAAACTTGCCGGGAAGCCACAAGCCACAAGCCACAATCCAGGCCCCTGCAGGAGAAATTGCATCAGTCTGGACTGTGGCAACCAGTTTACCCTCTACCTGCCAGGGCCTCCAGCTCAGGCACACCCACACCCACACCCACACCCACACTATAGGACTCGCCACCCACGAGCCGTGGGCTTCCCTGAAAACCCCTTCCACCTAAGCTTCACTCCCACCTCTCTCTCTGTCTCCATCTTCCAGTGCCCTTATCACCATCCATCCAGCAGGGGGCCAGAGCCCATCTCCCAGTGCCCAACCTGCGAAGCTCTTGTGGCAGCCCACCCCCTCAATCGGCCCCAGGCTACACTCTCATTCTCCAACCTCTGGTTCACCCCTCAAGGGAACCTGGCAGGAACCATTGTTCCAGAAACAAGGAGGGACCTCAGGAGCTCACCTGATCCAGGAGGGGGAATCAGGCAAGTGAGGCAGCACCATGCTGCTCCTAAGATGAGGCCTGGAGCTCAGCAAGGGTAAGCGACTTGCAGATCAGAGGTAAAAGGAGGAAACAGGCCTAGAAGCCAGGCCGCTGTGAATACAGACCCCTCTGCCGTGCCCCATGCCAATTAAACTGCCCAGGAGCGACACGATCTGCCGTGATATCAGCCACTCAGCCACTCTTGCTAGCCAGTGGCTGCTGCGGTTTGCAGAGAGTGTGACGAAACCTGTAGGCCCCTAACAATCACACCTGCTGGCCCAGTGAGCTGCTCCTTCCATGCTGGGCCCCACTGGCTCCCAAATTGCAGGGCACCAGAACCACCTGGAGGGCTTGTTCAACACAACAGTGGGCTCCACCTACAAAGTCTGCATTTCTCACAAGTTCCCAGGTGATGCTGCCTGCTGGTCCAGGGCCCCACTTTGAGAAACTGCTACCTACCTATGAGATTCTAGTTACTCTTCTTAGCTGTGTTGGAGAGCTGGGAATGCATTTTCATGGGGGCTGCAGGCCTTTCTTACGGTACTACCGGTCCCCACAGGGTGGGCCTGGTTCTTAGCCCGATGGCTGAGGTCATTTGTTTTGGACTATGGGCCCAGCGGTGACCGTAGGCAAAGCAATCTTGAGGCCAGACAATGGCTAAGTGACCTTGGAGAGAGCTAGAACCGGCTACCTGCAGTGTGGACCACAGACCCCTTTCCTTGTACACAGTGGTCTGAATGTCAAGACCCCAATGGGGCTGCCCTAAGGCTGCTTCATCTCCCTGTGGCTGGTGAGTGGTCAACACAAAGCCCTCCAGGTCCTGCCCTCAGCCTGACCCTCTGCCAGGACCTCAGACCTTGCTGGTGTGGAGGTCCCGGGGATCTGAGTGATGGGTGAGCCGGGAACCTTCTGGTGGGAGGAAGAGAGAACAGGCGAGCTGCAGCTGTGTCCTGACATCCTTCTCTCTGGAGACTTTACTATGCAGAAGCTTTGGGCGCCAAAGACCCCTGTCCACTTCTCGTCTCCTCCCAGAGCAATGAAGCCAAAGGGCCACAGCCACAGCAAGGTGCAGAAAAAAACCACCACGAAATCAAGAAACTACCGTTCCGTACCCCAAATAAAATTCAGCCAGACCAAAGATTTCAATGCAAGAAGTGGCCCCAAACCCCAAAGATATAAAATTAACGTTCTGCATGATAAGAAACAAATAAGGAAAACAACATAAAGACAAGCGAGCCGAGCCAGTGTGGCTCTGTGGCTGGACACCGACCTATGAACCAGGAAAGTCATGGTGAGATCCCAGGTTGCTGGCTTGATCCCCAGTAGGGGGCGTGCAGGAAGTACCGATCAATGATTCTCTCTCATCATTAATGTTTCTATCCCTCTCTCCCTCCCTCTCTCTGAAATCAAAGAAAAACAGATATCTATATATTTTTAAAAGACAAGAGAAATGACAAACTTAAGAAAAATGTTTTATAATAAAAAGACCACTAGAAAAACTCAAATGATGTGAGCAGGCAATTACAGAAAAGGAACTAAAGATTAAAGATGTTCACTCTCACTATATGCTGAGAATCACCAATGAAAAGTACAGCCATGTCAAATTTTAAAACGACACCCTCTTTGACCCAGAGACTGGACTTCTGGAAGTGCACTTCGCAGGCACATTGACACCGTGGGAGGGGACATCCGCACAGGGCGATTGCAGCACTAGTTACAACAAACCCCTACATGTGCCCTAAATACATCGCAACTGAGTCATACAATGGATACTCTAGCTACTTTTAGAATTAGCCAGCTCTATATATGGGGATATGAAATGATCACCGTTATTAATCAAGGTATAATATTAATATTTTTTAAAAGAAAACCTACACATACAAACTTAGTGGTGTGTGTATATATACACACATGCACAGAGGCCATCCCTGGAACAATAAACAAGAAACTGGGTAACACTGGTTGCCTTTGGAGAAAAAAGTGGAGGCAGAAATGAAGCTTACTGTTTATATTTGCATTTTTTACCACGTAAGTATTGCCTATTAAAAACAACTTTAAAAGGGCCCAATTCAGGTGGGGATTTCTGAGCTCACTGGAGGCTGCGGCTGTTCTTGCAAGATTTGTATAACACACAGGGTCCATTCAGTCCAAGACAGCCCCTCTCTGAGCCTGGGGTTAGCATGACTGTATAAATATACCAGACTCGGGCCTGGACCCGGACCGCTGGTGTCCCCTGCCTGGGTGTTCCCGCCTGGGTGTTCCCGCCTGGGGCAGGGCAGCAGGTCAGCCTCCACCTGCCTCCAGGGTGCTTGTTCCCACGTGGGCTCGTCCCCAGCAAGAGCCAGGATATCCCCTGGCAATGAGCTCTGCCCTAGGTGCCCGCAGGTCGGGTCTAATCCCACGTCCAAGGAGCAGTCCTTCCTCTCGGGGTCTCCCTCTCTCCCCCAAGACCTCCAGGCTTCCCCTCCTGAGAACAGTCATTTCCCCGTCACCTCAGGGCTATGACCCACTCCCTTGTTTTCTCAGAGGCCCGAGGTGTGGTCTGGAGAGTGCAGGGCGGGACCATCCTCTCCTTCCCCCTCCCACCTCCTGTACTGGCAACACTGGGGTGTTCTGGATCAGACCTGAGGCAGAGTCCTGTTAAATTCCTCCCTTACCTTCTGCCCGAGCTCAGCCTACTGAGATCTCCTGGGATGCTGACAACATCAAACATCTCTGCGCTCACTCAGCTTTATTTCACATCCACCGATACAGAAAGGGCCAAGGACGGACGCTCCCAAACTGTCCCTCCTGATCACCCCCAGCTAGACAACAGCGGGACAGGTACCCACCAGCCATCGGGCCACCTAACTAACCACAAAACAGCGCACATTGCCCCACGGTGTTCACAACAGCGTAAGGAGGGTCTCCATCAGGTAAGGGTGCTGACACTCTCCCACACCTAGAGCCCTCCAATCTAATCACCAGGAGAAAAGCTGGCCAGCGGAGAGCCTGGGGCGGCCTCGGGGTGCAGCACCCTGACTCCCAGTGCCCCCTGTTCCCTTCCCAACTATGGCATGTCCCGGGAGGCTGCAGGGATCCTCCTGCTGCTCTAACTCCACATTCACATTCTTCCCCACTTTTTTGAAAATTAAGAAACCTGCTCATCCCCTAGTCTTTGGGTAACTTTGGCCTCTGATTCTTCTCAAAAGAAGCCACCACCGGGGCCTGCTGTCTTGGCAAAGCTGTTCCCGGGACCCTGGGGCTGCCATATCTCAGGCTCAGAAGGGAGCTCGGCAGGGCTTCCAGGCACCCCCTTCCCGGACCCTCTCAATGCCTGTCCAACCTCACTGCCCAGGACAGCCGGGAACACAGTTGTTACAACCCAGCAGGCCCACTCTCTCCTTGGCATCCAGGAGCACCCCTTCTGCGCTCCCCACGGCCTCTCCTATTCCTGTCCTCTCCCAGAGAAGAACGGTGCCTGGGTGGGGATTCCTACACTGCAGTTCCGACAGGGCACAGCCCACTCTACGCAGCTCTGGTCACAGACCTCTGACGGGGTCTCAGGGCCGGCAGATGGCCTCTCAGGACTTCTCATTCTTAGAAAGCAGCCTCCGGGGAACCTCAGGCCCCTGGTCCTGCCTCTTGGGGCTGCTGCAGCTAACACCACCCTCCCTTCCTCAAGGAGCCCATCTACCTGCAGCTGCACACCGACTTCATCCAGCTGTGGCCCTCCCCCAGCTGTGGCCCTCACGCTTCTTAAACTTCGGTCTGCAGCGCTTCTTACTCCAGATTGCCAGGTCCCTCCCCCCCGTGTCTGAGTCAGCAGGGCTGGGAGTGGACCCCAAATGCTGCTTGACTGTGAACCACACTCTGAGCAGCACTGGTCACCACGCATGAGAATCACCTGGAGAGCTCGCTACAAACTGCAGCCGGCTGGGCCCCGTCACTCTGGGCCTTTCAACCTGGATGGGCCCGGGGATCTGAGACTGAAACAAGCACCCCAGCCCCGCCATCACCCCCAGCAATTCTGTGCTCCACACTCTAGGAAACACTCCTTCCAGGTGCTTGCACACTGTCCAGCTTTTATTCGCAGCAGTTGCCTGAGGAAAAGCACCAGAGCCCGGGCGTCCCTGAATCCCATCAGAACCGAGCCTCAGAGGCGAGGGGACTTGGGGACCGGGAAAGGACCTGCTCCCTCAGGCTGTGCGTGGACACACAGGTGCACCATCAAATCCCAAGGCTCCACAAGGCACCAGACGGAGCCCCAGGCACAGGAAATGCTGTGCTGGGGGAAGAGGCAGAACCTCCCAGAACAAGAAGCTCCCTCCCCACCCAACAACTCGAGATGGGGACACAGCGGGACTCTGCACCTCCAGCATCTTCTGCTGTCGCCTAACTTGCAGGGACACAGAGGAGGAATGGAAGGTGCACATGTGTGCAGGCAGGGGGCATATGGGAAATCTGCGTTTTCTACTCAATTTTGCTGTGAACCTAAAACTGCTCTAAAAGTAAATTACATTTAAAATTAGAAAATAAAAGGAACAGCCCCGGCCCAGTTGACTGGAGTGTCATTCTG